ATGTCTCAAGTTTGGAGATGGAGATACACACACACACACACACACACACACACACACAAACTCAGGCCTGATTGAAAATATTTGATGTTTAATTGCGCAGTCTCTATTTAAGTGTTAATTTCTATGTTTTAGTTATACGGCATTCAAATTCTTATGTGTAAAGTGATATTACTCCTAGTGTTCTTGTGGTTTGTAATGAGATAAATATTTGGAACATGAAATTCTATTTTGGTTTATTGGACTTTGCTGTTCTTTGAAACAAATATATTGATATCAAATTTTAAAACTGTTAACATTTAAGATATGTAAAATGTACAGTGATGGTTATAAGAAATTCCTACCATTTTGTATTGTGAATTAATAACTGTAGTTTTCAAATCTTCAATGATATTGTTTTATTGGAATAAAGGTTTTGTGGGTTTTTTTTCATATTTTCAGCTTTTCAAATGAGTGGATTGTTTTTAGGTGGAAAATAAATACAGGTTTTCCACAATTGGCTATGAAGAAGTTCTACTTGAAAAGAATGTTTAAACTTTACTAGTAAATTAGTAAGTAGAAAATAAATGAATCTTAGCTATTTAGCAATTGGCTCTTCATGATGCCAACTAATTTTAGAATCATGGCTCTATAAAGCAAAGAAAATAAAATTATATTATCAGAATGAGTACCTAGAGAAATATCATTTAAAAAATAATGTATTGGTAGAAAATGGACTTCTGTCCAATGCCTCTTATAGGATTGTTGTTGGGAGGGGGGAAATTTTGCACCTTGAATCATGCAAAATAAACACAGGATATAAATCAAATAATGCCCAAGAATTCTGCTGGATCAGGCCAGTGACCCTTTCATACTTTTATTGTAACTATGATTTAACTGTTAGGTACTAATTATAGAGACATGGCCAAAAGTACTGGTACCCCTCCACTTTTTTCCAAAGGAATCCCAATTTGCCATGAAATAAGTCGAAACTGACACAAGTAAATGACATCTATCATTTCTTATTCTATAGAGCATAGAGCAAACACTTTGTTTTTGATGTATGACTTAACATATTCTTGTAAATAATAAATGAAAATGGCATGGGCATAATTATTGGTACCAGTTCTGTTTCACGTTTCAAGCATACACACCATGACAGTATCCCTTAGGAGTTAAAAGACACTATTGGATTTTAGTGACCTCTCAAGCAGTATCACAGGTGTCTTCAAACTCATAATAACTCAGCCTATTTGAATTTTATGTCATTGTATGCAGCATAGTGAACATGGACAAGAGAAAGAAAAGCAGAGAGTTGTCTGGGGACAAAAAGAAGAAGGTAATAACCCAAACATGGTAAAGGTGAAGGCTACAAAACCATTTCCAAAGAGCTTCATGTTCCTGTGACCACAGCTGCTAATACTGTCAAGAAACTTAAAGGTCCATGGGACTGAAGCCAACTTCCCTGAATGTGGCCACAAGAGGAAAATTGAACAAGATTGAACAAAATGATAGTTTGAATGATGGAGAACTAATCAAGGAAAATCTTGAAACAGATCCTGGCTGACTTCCAAGATCAAGGTACAACAATAGCAAGTTGTATCATTCATTGCTTGCTGTCTGACTGAAAGTGGCCTCCATGGTAGAAGACCCAGGAAAACCCCACTTCTGAAAGACCCCAAAAAGTCAGACTGGAGTTTGCTAAAATGTATGTTGACAAGCCACAGTCCTTCTGGGAGAATGTCTTTTGGAAAGATGAAATAAAATTAGAGCTTTTTGGTAAGTCACAGCAGCTCTGCGTTCACAAAAGAAAATGCTTTTAAAGAAGAAAACACCATCCTACCGTGAAACATGGAGGATGCTCCATAATATTATGGGGTTGCTTTGCTGCCTCTAGCACCAGTTGCCTTGAATCTCTGCAGGGCACAATGAAATCAGAAGATTATCAAGGGATTTTGGAGCAAAACCTAATGCCCATTCTTGGAAAGCTCTGTATCCAGCAGGATAATGACCCAAAACATAAATCTAAGAGAACCCAAGAATGAATGAAAAGCAAACACTGGACTGTTCAAACAAGTGGCCTGCTATGAGTCCTGATCTGAATCCAATAGAACATCTATGGAAAGAGCTGAAACTGACAGTTGGGAGAAGGAACCCATCAAACCTAAGACAACTGGAGCAGTTTGCTCAAGAAGAGTGGAACAAATTGCCAATTGAGAAGTCTTATTCAGAGCTACAGAAAACGCTTGATTGCAATTATTACCTCAAAAGAATGTGTTATGAAATATTAGGTTAGTGGTACTAATAATTATGTCCACGCTATTTTCATTTGTTTTATTATTTACAAGAACATATTAAGTGATACATCAAAAGCAAAGGGCCTGCTCTATGGACTATGGAACAAAGAATGTTGTTCTCCAGATTTGTTGGCATAGCTTGGTTAAAACCTTTACTGATTCTTCTTCTCTTGTCTGCTTTCTATTGATAATTCCATCAATTCTTGTAGTGTTCCAACTTGGCAATGACAGAAATGCTGATCTTCTTTTAGTATTAGGGGTTCTTGTAAATAGGGAATATCTTCTAAAGTATCTTGATTTTGTTATCTCTACTGTACATAATTTCAAATATACTGTTTGATCTTGGAATTGGTCCATTAGTGTCCTTTAGCATACCAGTTCAAGGTTGGAATCTCCTTCTGATTTCAGAGATCTTTTGGAAGACTTTTCTTCTTTTTCTTTGTCTGTTTCCATCTTTGATGTCTTTACAGATGTTTTAATATTGCTTCTTGTCTCTTCTAACAGCTCAGTGAAATTCTTCATTAATTTCTTTCCTAAGATCTTTGTCTTTCTTGACTTTGGCTTCCCTTCTTGGCAATTTCCACAGTTTGTTCTGACATCCAATTTGCTTTCTTCTGTTTCTTGATCTTTGGCAGTCTTTTTTCTTATTCATCCTTAACAACTTCTTTGATTTCATTCCATAGTTTCTCTGGTTCCAAACAATGAGGTTCAGGGCTTCAAAGTGATTTCTGATTTTCTCCTTGAAAATTGTGGATATATGCTAAAGATCATATAGTGGAAAGTTATTGGCTTTCTTCTTCTGTTTTAGTTTAACTTGGAATTTTTATATGAGCAATTCATTATCTGTTCCACATTTAGCTCATGGTCATTTCTTTGCTGTTATACCTGAGCTTTTCCAACTCCTTTTATCAATAATATAATCAATTTGGTTTCACTGTACTCTGTGATGTTCATATATGCAGGAATCATTTTGATTGTTTGAAGACTGTGTTAGCAATGAAGAAATCATTGGCTTTCTTGTCTCTGGGGGCTGTATGAAAAAGCTCTGTACCAGAATCCCTGGGGGCTGGCTGAAAAAGCTCCGTGCTGAAATCCAAGCAGGTTTTTGGCACAGGGCATTTTCAGCCAGCCCCCAGAGATGAGAGAGAGTCCTCTTGGCAAGCGGCAGCAGCTTGCAATCTTCACTGCCAGCTTCCCCATTGATTTTCTGGGGAAGCCAGCAAGGAAGATTGCAAATGGCAATTACATGATCACAGAGTGCTTGGCGACCGGTCATAAGTGTGAACTGATTGCCAAGGGCCCAGATCACAATCATGTGACGGGGGCCTCTGCAACGACCGTAATTTCAGGCATGGGTCATAAGTCCATTCAGCACTGTCGTAACTTCAGTCACTGAACAAATGGTCATTTAGCAAGGACTACCTGTAATTCTGTCTTTGCAACTTCAAATTTTCTTTTGCTGCATGGCAACATATGTAACTAGACATCTCATTAATATAGCCATGTCATAAACACCATTAGTACTCCAAAAGTAGCACGTTAAGTGCTATTCAAGCTGAGGAGCCCATCATCCAGGACTATATTTTTAATCATTTTATATTTTATTTATTTTATTAATTCAATTTAGACCCTATATAAATTGAATTAATAATAAAAATGCAAAGCCACATCTTCAGAGTCTTCCAAAACATTGATAGGATCAGGGCCAATCTAATCTCTGGGGGAATGATGTTCCAAAGGGCGAGCACCATGAAAAATAGGTTCCATTTTCTATGTCTATAGTAAATACAGGAGTGGTTCACCATTACTTTCTCCCACACAATATAAAATGATGCCTTTGCAGTTGTCACTAAAGTGATAATACTCCTCTAGCATCTTCCCATATAGATGCTGCCCAATATCTGCTTGCTTTGTCTGGGGCAACTCAGATAACCTGCCTTGAGTGACCCTTCTGGGATTATATAATCTTGGCATGCATTCCCAGAGTTCTTTCCTTATCCCTCTCAGAAACCCCACCCCACCCCACACAATGAGGCAACACAACAGGATGTGGGGGGGGGGGCTATATGTATTGGATAAAAGCAACTGTTGGATAAAAGTAACTGTTACAGAATTTTCACTGAATTGCAACCCACATCGAGGTCTACATTTACATATTTAGAAGTATTTTATGTATTAACAGAATTAACACAACTAAAGTACATGTCAGCCTAACTTCTCTACAACATTATTTTGTTATGAGAGCATATAAACTTATGCAAAAAGAATAGAAGTTGGCAGTCGACATCTTTTCTGTCAAATAATTGCGCTTAAAGACAGTACAAAATAAAAAGGTTAAAATTTAAAAAAACAAAAATTTGAACACCACTAAAACCTCATTGGTAAAATAGGAGCTGGTTTACCCCCTCCTCAAGATACCATCACTGGACCTCACTATATTAGACAATTTTCATTCAGGATCTAACCTCCCCTTTTGGGGGAAGGTGGTGGAAAAAGTTGTGCGGCAGCTTCAGAGGAACCTGGATGAAGCAGATTATCTGGATCCCTTTCAGTCAGGATTCAGGCCTGGGTATGGGA